TTAAGGTGCGATTGCAATTCTGTAATAATCCACATCACTCATTCGTAGTGATGTGGATTATTACATCACTGTTTGAGTAATAACTAGAGGACGAGACTAGTTATTACTCAAAATGTTAAAATTCACCCGTCGGATAATTTTGTAGTAATTTTGCTGTAAAGGTAAAAACTTCACTGCTACCACACAACAAAATACAGTCAGCATCGTCTGCACCTGAATTCCAAAGCACAAAAATGCTGCCTCTGTCGTTTGTCGAACAGGTACTGGAACGGTAATACCAAACACTTACGTGACGTTGGCGTATGAAAGATTCAGTCTGTGGATCTGTCATTCTACAGTTCTGCATGATCGCAACACATGCTGACTGTAGGAAGATATGTATAGCGCTTTGTTCGATTTGTCTTAGTTTCTTGGCTTGGTTACGACACAGCAATGTATTTCAGCTAAAACTATCCTTGCTTCAATTCACTCTGGATCAGGAATGTGTCAATGTTTAGATATCTGGTTATAACACATCTCTCGAATTCCGTTTACAATCACGTTTGGAATCTCTGCATGACCTGTTGTTGTCGACATTCATCGCGAATCAATAATACAAAGGATGGCACTCAAATTTTGAATGAATGTTACGGCATGTGAATCACGGCACGTGATGCCCAATAGATAACGGCAGGCTTTGACTCCGACATATACAATTATCTATCACTAATAGACTGCCTATGCGCAATCGTACATCACATTCAACTCTTAATACAGTTACATTACAAAAACTCGACATAAATGCCAAAATCTGTACATACCTCTTCATTTTTCAGACTGAAACAGATGCACTGTACACTGATCTATTTTAAAAATTAAAAGCATATTCACGTACATGCATTCGTCGCTGCACCCTTTTAAAGGGGTGAAATTCCATCAAATGGATGCATCCTAAGTTGCCGTACCTCTTCCATGTTCTCAGCGCACTCTTTAGCGCAATTCAATTCAATTTATTGCTGATTGTCTAACTATTATTTCAGGACAAGAACTGACACTACACGTTATGGTGTAGACATTTCAGTGTTAGTCTGAATGTATATGCTATTGCGCAGAGTGGTAATTTAACAACAATCTTATGGTGAGCCATGTGTGTCGTAGTCAAAAGCGGGAAGAAGTTGAGGAAACGGGCGAAAACCAAAGGGTACTACTACGGACTGAACCGCAAATCGATATACCTAGGTTTAAAGCAATTTGAGAATATGCTCACAAGATGTATTTACAACAGGTAACATCTCTGATAGAACAAAACGCGGATACCGACGACTATTTGAGAATTACACAGATACAAACTTGCGGTGAAACGCTGTACACAACTTATTACATGTGACTGGCTGATCAGACAGCAGTAGGAGTCAGATACCGACCGCATTTCATCAGATGACAACATTGCAAACGACAGTGACATGAAGATTATTAGCCTTAAACACCGACGATTATAAAAAACGCGTAACGTTGCTTACATCAAGGTTTGCCAGCAACTTGTCGATCGACGGATACACAGTAATGTCATCGTGGAGCTGTTTGTCGACAAACTTCAATAAAGCTTCGCGAGATCGTTGCCCACGGTATTCCTTTTTGACCAATTCACCATATCGAAAAATTTTCAGCGTTGGATACTTCGTAATGTGATACTTTCTAGCAACATCATCTAAATTCATTTACCTGACTACAGTAATCAGTTTTCCAAGCGTCGGCCATTATCGTGTTAAAAATAGCCACAACACAGTTTGAATGAATATGCATTAAGGGCGACAGCATCTGAGTCAATATGCATTGTCAACGACATACGGCCTATTTGAAAATAGTCATAGCATATTAGGAAGCAAAATTTGGCTACTTTACAAACATCACGCTCTTCGACTCCATCCTCCGAGTTACAGTAGAGAAGAGCGTAAAACAATGGGAGATCATCTTCCCCCGACTCTTCACTGCCTTATGGACATGGTTTACTGGAAGACAAACTAAACCGGTGGGGTCAACGTCTATGGTGAACAGCCCAGTCACATGAAGTTCGCTAATGACGTGGTGCTGTTGGCGAAAACGTCACTCAGCTACATGACATGCAAGAGCTGGACAGAAACAGCGCATAAGTCTGAACGCAAATCACTTGGTCAATGACTAAAATATTGCAATCGGGTGTCCTATAAAAAGACCAAGTAAGGATCACAGAAGTTGATAAATACATTTACCTGGGCCAAGAGATCAACGTTCCGCCATGATAAGACCGGATATATTTTACGGAGAAAAAGGTTCAGTTGGAGAGCATTCCATTCTATCGATGACGCCTTCCAAGGCAACAACAGAAAAATACCCGCGCCCACCTCCAGTTCTACAGTCCTGCCGGCAATTCTACATGACCGTGAGACATTGCCCGTCACCAAAGCCGAAAAGTATAAGCAAAGTCACAGAGAGAGCTATGGAAAAAAGAATGCTGGCAAACTCATGTCGCGACCACATCCCCAAAACGGTGATCCGACTGCAGACGGGAGTGAAGGACGTCGTCTAAAGCAGAAAAGGGAAGCTACGGTTGGCCGGACATGTAGCTGGGCTCACAGAACGGAGGCGGTCGGCAATGATCGTCGACTGGTACCCCTCGCGGGCGCGCCAAGCTACTTCGTTGCCCACCACGACGGTAGGAAGATCATATCAGGAGCACAAGGCTGCGCTTGAAGGGAGAAGCTCGAAACCGCAAGGAATAGCAGGGGTGTTGCAGTCGGCGTGATTCGTCGCCGATTACTGGCCGGTCAAGGTAATCCAAGTGATCTATCCACATATTTCGAATCTACATTTGTCCATCTAGATAAATTAAGCATGTAAATAAACAGTTAAAAAGGAGAAGACAGAAGACTGGCTGACAAAGAGATAGATCAGGTAGGTGGGGACAGATTGAGTATTTCGTTTTCGTTCATGCGTTGGTGATCATACTGAAAATTGTATGACGGTTTAGTCATACCCAACGCAAACGAAATGGCCAATTGGTAATTATCTAGTATCGATGCTTCGGTTTGTGGCTCACTGACCTTCTTACGGTGGACAGGGTTAAATTCCGGAACTTGTCCAGTGGTTCATAGTTGTAACGCTTTCAGCCAAAAGGTCAATCAATGATCGTTAATTTCTGCTTTTCATCCGCAAAGTTTGCTTTGCAGATGATTTCCAGTTTTTCAGTAAATCACTATCATCGACAGTGCATGAAGAATTAATTCATGATCAGAGTTACTACAGATACTCATCGACCGAGAAAAGGAAAGGAAAGTTAGGAAACGCTGAAATGTCTGCCTTCCTTCAACTTTATGACAGCCATTTTGGCGCCGTTCTTTACATGAAGTTGATGGTGATAATCTCGGTTTCGAACAGCCAGGAGTGCCTTCTTTACAGGCAGAGTTTATAGCCACTTGGCAAGCGAAGCGCTTAGATTTCTTTTCACAGAGTCATTCATCAAAATCGGAACAAAAACGGACGAGTGACCACGACCAGAGCTTGAACTCAAGGTCGATCGATTTTGAATTTGACACCCTAGCGACTGAACAACTCCGGTCTGTAGCAATGTGTGGCACATTCCTTGCTCAAGAGAATCTGCGAATATGACAAAGATTTCTCTCGAGCGGAACTGAACCCCGCACCTCCGGTATTCGAAGCAGACCTCTTAGACAACCGTACCGGCACGCCAATGTCAAGCTAGCTGTCAAAAAAGCAGCGGATGAGAGGCATCATACCTTCTGAACAAAGCGTTGACTATGATCGACTACGCTGCATAACGTATTGCCAAAATTTCCGGCGTTCATGCCATTCTCATCACGTTTCGAAATTTCTTCCAGATCGCCAGATCTGGTTAGTTATTCGTCGATGGGTGCAACCTAGCTCTGCAACCTAACCATTCGATCTTATCCATGTTTCTGTCAGCTTGTCTCGTTTCTTGCCAACAGTTTCGGCAACCATAATCATTACACTAATGAAATATTTGCAACCTCATTGTTGCGCGCAACCATTCAAGTCTGAACTGACAGAAAACTTAATTTAGTTAAGTTAATGCATTTGCACTTAGTTCGAAAGTTCGAAGCTGAACGTCAACGATTTTGCTCGAACCGTAAACCGCTGTCAACAACAATGCTGTTTTCTTCAAACGGCAAGCCTACATTCGACATGGCGCCCACAACGAACAGACCGGTGAAACTGCTTAACGGTTTTCATACAATCGTTAAAATCCAACATTTCACAATAAAAGAGGTACCTTACCATTTGCATCGCAGTCTACGCTTCCAAACACCACTTCAGAATTTCCCTAAAAACAGTCACGAAAGCGTCATATCACATAAGAAAACTGAAAACAAGCCGTCTGTTAGTCAAACATCACCGTAAATTTACTGCAACAAAAACACAATTCCTGAATTCCTGTTAATAAAGTTTACGCAATTAAACTGGGAATACATTCAAAGATTCGGCACTATTAGAACCGCTTCCCATGAAACTTGCGACAAATTTCTACCCTTCTGAAAGTAAAGATTTTCAGAAACTGCGTTTCGAAAAAGAAATTCAGAGATACGCAGGTGAAATGGCATTTTCACTTTCTAGCCCTAAGAAGTCAGTTACAATAAATTTTATGAACAAACAGTGCATAACCTGTGTTGATTTTATGACAGCAAAATAAAGCAAAAAAGTCGATTACCAATTATGCACGTTGTACGCAAGCAGTGCGTCACCAAGTTCAAATGCATAGCTTACTTTAAAACTGTTTGAAGCATCCTCGAACACTGGAGCCAACATCTGACTGAAACGGCACCAATCGGCATAAAAATTTACAATCGCGAACTTAGAATTGCCTGAAATCGCAACACTCAGAAAAGATTGATGTAAACAGGCACAAGAGCTTAATACTTTCAAGCATTAACAGTGTTTCCCCGTTAGATGACGGAACTGACTCAGTGCAACGAAGCAATTAAACTACGCAGGTACACTTTATAGCTGAATAAACGCTGAAAATTTTGCATGTCATATCACCTAAAGACTGGTTATGTGACAGGCAAAATATCTGAGTAAAATCATCAATACATTGCTAGGCGAATCGTTTCGTAAATGATCATAATGATATTTTTAAAAGTTTGAAAAAGACGAAACAGAACACTTAAGGTTCTGATTTCTCACGCAGCATATATAATCCTTCTCATGTACCTATTTAAAGAAAGTCTGAGCCAATTTGCTCGATAGTTTTTCCTTTTCTGTGAGGAGAGCCGAAGCCAGTCTGCAGTAAGGTACATTTATTAAATTTAAAAAAAAATAATGCATCATAGATGCTTCATCTTGTACGTCGCAGGTCGTAAGGTACATAGAGCTAATAAATTTAAAACGGCAACACATGCATATACTAATTTCTTTGCATACACTTACTCGTCAGTTCATATGGTTACGGCACATATTCACATCACATCCCTGGTCAAGAAAGAGAACGACTGTAATGGAGCACCGTCATAAACTGTCACGAATTATGCCTCCAATATATCTTAATGACAAAAGGCACACAGAAGCTTGGAACTTTGGCAACCTCTTCAAAAAAAAGAAACCGTCGAAAATTTTTTGAAAATGTCAACAGTCTCGAAAGAATAAATGTCGTATCAAATCATGTGCAATAAATGAGGCTATTATCTACGTAACTGGAAGAACACCAATATGACGCGTTTTCTGCCACAGGGAAGCAGCACATCAGATGTAAATTATGTACTACCGTAACTCAAAACTCGACTTACGAAAATGCCGGTGGCCCTGAAGCACTTGGAATCAGCTTTGGCGCCATAAGTGGTATGATAACGACTGATTTCGAACGCCAGGTCATTAATGCATTTCAGACACGCTTAGCAAGCAACCGACATTGCGGATGCTTTTTACAAACAGCGTAGCAACAGAAGCAGGCAAGCAAATTGTTCTCTGTTGCAATACTCAATTTATGCCAACTACTACTTAAAAATACGAATGTACGATGCACTCACTTTCATGTTAATTTAAGACATGCAACAAGGCGTTGAGGTCATTTCTGAAATGAATACAACTATCCTTCTGAAAGACTTAAGTTTAAAGGCTTTCGCGAAGACACGTGTATCGGTCATCCAGATTAAGAGATTTCGGTAAAATCAGACAAGTTTCTAAATAGGATGACCAAATTACTGAAAACAATGAGCAGACGATTCCAATTGGTCTGGTAGTTTTCTCCGTTTTAAAATTGCGTCTGATTGAATAAATGGCTCAGCAATGTGAAAAATCTTGAAATGATAGGGGATACCTAGCGATTAGTTTCCATTTTGGAAGAGAAGTAAATAAGGATGCTGAATCAGAGAGCTATTTGAGTGGTTCTCTATTAACCGTAGAATGCGCCAGGAAGATGCGCTGTCGGCTTTACCATTCAACATTGTTCTCGACTTTTTGCACTGAAACACTGCTGACCTTGACACAGACCAAGGCATCGGATAAGAGGAAAGGCAGAATTCAAGATATCTGGCTAGACATCGTACAGATACTGAGCACGCAGAAGATATTATCCTGGTGAGAAGTAAGCAGAGCAAGCCTCCTTACCCAATGGTTTTCGTATGCACTACAGCTACGAAAGCCAGCGTCATTAATTGTCCGAAAATCAAAACTTATGAGCAATCCATCTGGCACAGCTGACTTACAAATAAAACCGAGAAATGAAACAGTTCAGGAGATTGACCAATTTCAATATTTCGGATCCATTATCTTCAGCTGTGATGTCATCCAGACAGGGTTAAATAGGAGAATCGCGGCGGCCTCCAGTGCATCAGACAACCTGCTGAATATCTGGACGGAGAAAAGAGAAAACCCTTCTACACCAACCAACAACTAATCCCCTTCAGGTCAGTGCTGTTGTACAGCGTGACGAAACTTATTCAAACGAACGATCAACAAAGGATGAAATCCGCCGTGAAATGCTTAAGGCATTAGGCGAACAGGGCATTTGCTGGTCTACGAGTGTCTGGCAAAACTGCAGTGGCTACAGAGAAGACACCAGCGGATTCAAAAACGGGCTTGTAACACACCTATTCAATAAGGGAGACCATAGGGAGTGCCTCAATTATCGGTGCATAAAGCATTGAGCCTCCGAGGCAAAGTCTACGTAAAGGTGCTAGAATGGAAGTGCTGCGGAACAAATGGCCCCAAAATGCAAGAGCAGAGTGGCTTTCGGTCAGGCTGAAACACACCTGACCACATTCGCCATACGCTAGATTGTTCTGAAATTGTGGAGTTCGACCATCCGGTGTACCTGTGCCTTGTGGACCTTGAGAAAGCCTATGACCGAATCCCGCACAGCAATTTATCGGCGTGCCTGCGAACATATGCTCGACGGTCAGTTACTACGGGCCATCCAGTCACTACCTGATGATAGCAGGTGCTCTGTCAGAGTAAATGGCGTTTAGTCAAGACCTTTCAGCATCGGCACTGGTCTTCGCCAGAA